TATATATATATATATATATATATATATATATATATATATCAACAAGAAAAAAAGAAATTTAAAACCACCGTAAATTTTAGTAATTAAAATCTAAACTAATTGAATTTACATAATTGTCCGAATAAATACGTACAATAACAAACCGACCCAGTCCAAACCTAAAGGCCCAAAAGAGAAAAGAAAAAGAAAAGAGACAAAGATTAAAGAAAAAATAACAAAAATTCCACCTTTAAGTTCTCTTATTATTATTATTCCCTGTTAGTTTTACAAATCTCCAAAATTCTTCATTTTCGCGCATCAGATTAGTGTATATGACGCATCATATTAGCGTATAATGTATAAGTATCATACTTAACGATTAATGTATCTCGTGCGTCAAATTAATGTGTTAACGCTAATATAATTTATTTGAGAGATTTCTGTAATCATATACTTACAAAGGCCAAATGTTGAATTTACCTTAAAAGTATGTGATTTTTTGTTATTTGCCTAAAAGTAAAAGTTCGGTATCAAAATTTGCAACTTCTCAACTCTTTTGTTCGTCTATCGGATAGATATATAATTACTCGCCAAAAATACATGTATCTGACAGTTTTAAAAATTAAAATACATATTGTATTTGTTTAAATTAAATAATTATAACTAATTTTCTTAATTAAAGAAGTATAATTGGTTTTTTTGAAATATTATCCCAAATTTAAAATAATACCTCTAAAGACTAACTCCATATGAATTTTTTTTAGTCTATATAGTATTTTTCTTTCTATTGATTTGATTTATCAGTTATCGTTGTATGTCTTTTGATATTATTTTACTATGTTATATTTTTTCCATGAACATGCATTTATGTTAGGTATAATCGATTTTTCGATATAACTCCTTTTCGAATAATCTTAGATCTTACATTATTTTTTTTTGATTTAATATACTTTCACTTTAAGTATTGATAAAATGTAAGATATGATATTTTTTTTGGTAAAAACTCTTTTTTTTTACGCAATTTTAGATCTACCTTATTTAATTGTAATACTTCAAACTGTCCGTATTTGTACAATTATAAAGTATGCCAAGTGTTTTATAAATTAGAAACTTTTTTATTTTTTATTTTTTAGTGAACCAAATATGTAGACAAAAATTAGAAACTAATTTGGACAAAAACAAATAAATATTGTACTTAATGAAGTTGCTGAATATTGTTGGGAAAAATAAAAGAAGCTGGAAACAACTGGCTCCTTTTTTTTTCTTTTTCGATTCGGTTGTTTTCTATATTTGTTTTGAAGTCGCACCTATTCAGATTCGTATTATTTAAAACTTGTTAAAAAATAAATATTTTTAAATTTAATATTTATAATTAAAGATAAAATCATATTCATTCCATTACGATATTTCGTGATAGCGAAGTAAAAATGTAAAAATTGAGTTAATATTTGGAACCAATTATTATCCCTTATTACTATACAATTCTCCATTAAAAATTTTAGCTAATAACTCAAATCTCTTAGAACTTAAAAATTTTTACCCAAAAATAAAAATATTTGCTAGCAAAGAAAATTAATGAAAAGACTCGTGTCATCGACATGAATTATGGTGTGATGGATGTAATATCGAAGACTCGTTTGTTGGTTTTGAACTTCATAAATCGTTTAGGGTTTAATTTGAAATTTTTTTAATTGTATGAGTAGTTCCTTAATTATGTTAGTCCTTTGAATTCAACATTATTTTATTAGAGTTGTTTTGTGTCTTAGTCGAATTTTTATATCCAAAACTTTTTTATGTTAAATGAGTGGTTAAATATTAATACTATAATAATATATCTAGTGAAAATTCATAATTGAGTTCTAAAGAAGATTGAGGGTACGCAAATCTTATACTACCTTATAAAGATAGAGAGGTTGTTTCTTAAAAACCTGTTGCTCAAGTGTAACAAATCTAGTGACTAAATATTGGCATCGTTTTGATAGGATGCTAAAAAGATTACTTTACCCACATTTTCTCACAAATTCGAATTTCTTTAGACTCAAAGTGAATATCGAATGAAATACAAATAAGGGAAAATGGTCTGATATATCCCTCAACTTTGTCATTTGGAGCTAATATACCCCCCGTTATAAAAGTGGTTCATATATGCCCTTACCGTTATACAAACGGCTCACATATACCCCTCCCGTTACAAAATGGCTCATATACACCCTTCATTTAACGGGAGTTAAAAAATTAGTTTTAAATTTATATTTATTGCTTGTAATTTTTTTAAAAATTATTTAGGGGT